ATATAGAATGCCACTTATGCACTGAGCCAAGGTACAAAAACAAGTCAAGGAGATGTTGGAGAAAAGTCTAGTGCATGAGAGTAAAAGTCTTTGTGCTTGCCCAACTTTGTTAGCTCCTAAGAAAGATGGTTTATGAAAGATGTGTGTGGATAGCCGTGCCATAAACAAGATAACAATCAAGTATCATTTTCCTATTCCTTGATTGGATGAGATTCTTGTTCAACTAGTTGGTTCTAGGGTGTTTTCAAAAATTGATTTGAAGTACGAATATCATCAAAACAGAATAAGGAGTGGAGATGAATGGAAAACATCCTTCAAAACACCAGATGGATTATTTGAATGGTTAATGATGCCATTTGGCCTTTGTAATGCACCAAGCACATTCATAAGAGTCATGACAGAGGTGTTCAAGCCCTTCTTGAATTCATTTGTGGTAGTTTCCTTTAATGATATTTTGATTTATAGCCATACTAAGGAAAAGCACTTAAAACATTTACAACAAATACTAGAGGTACTTTAAAAGGAACAACTTTATATAAACTTGAAAAAGTGTGATTTCATGCAATAGAAGTGGTATTGGTTGGTTTCATTGGGTTGGTAGAAGGTTTGATTCTATCTTTGTGGTGGTGGATCTTTTTTAAAAAATGGCACATTTTATTTCATGTTTTAAGACTTCTGATGCAACTCATATTGCTAAATTCTTTTGTCGTGAGGTTGTAAGACTACATAGTATTCTAACTTCTATTGTTTGTTATAAAGATGTACAGTTTATGGGACACTTTTAGAGAACTTTGTAGAGGAAATTTGGGACATAATTGAAACATTCTAGTACTTGTCATCCACAAACAGATAGTCAAATAGAAGTTATAAATTGAAGTTTGGGTAATATATTAAGATGTCTTATTTAGAACAATCCAAATACTTGGGAATTAGTTATACCCCAGGCTGAATTTGCCTACAACAATTTTGTAAATCAAAGCATAAAGAAAACACCATTTGAGACTGCATATGGATTAAAACCTTAAAATGTGCTTGATGTAGTGCCATTATCACAAGAAGCTAAAGTAAGTAATGAAAGAGAGTTATTTGTTAATCATATTCAGAAGATTCATGACGAGGTAAAAGATTCCTTAAAAGTTAGCAATGCATAATACTCTTTCGCTGCAAATCAACATCGTTGTCAGTAAGAATTTAAGGAAGGTGATCAAGTACTTGTGCACTTGAGACAAGAAATATTTCCTAAAGGTACTTATCACAAGCTCAAGTCTAAAAAGTTTGGACCTTGTAAGGTGCTAAAGAAAATCAGTTCAAAAGCCTACTTAATTGAGCTACTACCTGAGTTACAAATCATTTCTATTTTCAATGTTTTGGACTTGTATCCATTTGATGGATGTGATGGAACTATTTCTACTATAGACGTTAAGTTTAGCACTTTTCAATTGCTAAGGCTAAAGTTATTGAAGAAGTGTTAGATGTGAAAAAGATTCAATCTAGAATAAGGAACCCTGTATAGACAATTTTTGGTGACATAGCTTGGTAAACTTGCTAATTAAAGCACTTGGATTGCTAAAGAAAAATTGAAACAAGTGGATCCAAACATCTACGAGGAGTATGTCAAGGCTTACTCGTCGAAGCTGAGTCTTTTTCAGACCCGTTGGAAATGATGTAAGTGCATCTAGAATTTAGAATTCTATTTAGTATTTTAGTTGGTTTAGGATTTTATTTTCTTTATTTTTTTAATTTAAGATTTTTTTTCTAACTTTATTAGGATTTTTTTACATTAAATTTTATTTATTAGGAGGAGGATTTTTAATAAGAGTAGGCTTGTAACCTTTTTATTTGATTAGAATTTATCTTAGCTAGTATAAATAGATGGTCCTAGATAAAAGATTATTATTATCTTTGTTTATTTTGAATTTTTATTCAAGAGGTTTCTTTAAAACCCAATTATCTTTCTATTGTTCCAAATATAATCAAACCTATTCAAGCCTAACTGTTAAGTTCTAATTACCCTTAACTTTTCGGCTATATTATGTAAATTTACTAGCATTGTCAAAGATGAATAGTTTTGATTGAATAATCAAGAAAATGTGCTCGCAAAAGAATAATTTAGGTAAGTAATATTGCGAATACCAAATTACAAGTTAATAATAAATACACATGTGACTATCTAGTTGATGCATCGATTAAAGCTATAAAATATCTAAATAATCCACATGGTGGATATTCGAGTCCGTATATATCACCATGAATACGTTCCAAAAAAATAAGAGATTTAGCCCTAGCTTTTACTGATAATGGCTTTATAATTAATTTACCCTTGAGAGCTAGTAGCATATGAGAATTTATTAAATTGAAAATCTTCATATTTTTCAATGGATGACTAAATGGATTTTCAAAAAAATTTTGCATCATTATTGATCCAAAATCGTCTAACTAGTCATGCCAAATGTTAAAATTATTAGTAAATTTTTTATTTACTATAGCATGAGTTTCAATAATTTTGATATTTATGTAGTACAATCCAAAGACCAAAGCAGGAAATTTTTTTAACACACATTTCTTAACTGAGAAAATAAATGTAAAATGGAGGTATTGAGTGTCTCTTTCATTCGTTGTCTCAATATAATACCTATTTAGATGAATATCTTTGAAACTTAAGAAATTACTTTGAGACTTAGTAAAAAATAATGCATCTTCTATTATGAACTTTGTTCCTCTAGATAATAAATATTGACTTTTCTGGAACCTTCAGTTAATCTTGTAGTATTAGATAAATATCAATATTTGTCTCTAATAAAATAAAATATATGTGCGTGTGTGTGTGTATAGTAAGAAACTTACAAGTTAATATAAGAGAACATTAAATATATAATTGAAACACATAGTAAGAATATATTATTTAAATATCATAAGAACGTATAAAAGCATATTCATAATAGAATTGTACTACTAAAATATACCAACAAATGATTAAGAAATTTTATTTTTGGATATTTCCATTACGAATCAAATGATTAATTCCTCCTTCATAGTGGGCAAGAAAATTAGTAACATCTTAATGTGTTATATCAATTTGGCTATGGCTATGGTTAAAATCATTTTGAACAAAATTTGAGTCAATTTTTTTTTCTTATAGGTTTCAGTGATACTTGATAAAGTTCAATAAGATATTTCAATATACAATAGGTACATGACCAATAGCATTCCATACCATATTGATAACAAGACATTTTCTATATTCCTTTTTATTAGTCGACTTTTATCTTTTTATTTTATTTTTTTATTATTCATCCTCTCCTAGCAGTAAAAAATATTCATCCAATCGTAGTGAGTTAAAAGTATTCATCCAGTCCTAGTAGATTAAAAGTATTCTTATTATTAGAAAAATAATTAGTGTAACCACCATAATTGTAATAATTATGATGACCTTTTCCACATCTATGACTATAATTATTAAATGATGTCACATTTACTTAAGGTAATGGATGGGGTTCATGATTTTTCATTAGTAGCTCATTATTTTGCTAAACCAAAAAAAAACATGAAATCCAAAATAAAATGTATTTTTAGATTACTCAAAGAATAGTATTTTTCACTTGTTACAAAATAGATATCATATAATTCAAATATCATATAAAATCAATTTCTTTTGCTCAATTCAAAATATCTAATGCAAAATCTCATAGTATCAAAGATAGATTTACATATACAAAGCATGATCATATTTGAAATTCCAAACAAAGAAATTATATATTGAGCAAATCATATTCTAATATTAGAATAAAGATATATTTATTTTCTTGCTCGATTTTGATTTAATAAATCAAGGAATAAAATATGATACATAATGCATGATAAAAATTTACATTCTAATTTAATAAATTAAGAGACAAAATATAATATATATTAACTGATAAGAAGTCCACATTAAGGTTGATTTTTAGGGAATGAAAATGCCAAAGAGATATCAAGCTACTTACCTGATTTGCTAAAACCAAAAATAAAAAACGAACCATTGAAATGCTTTATGAAACTTGAAAGAACTAGAAGTTCAACTTTAAGATGATGTTAAAAACTGAATGATACTAAAGCTTAATATCAAAGCTTGAGAGATTAGAGGATCGTGTTAATAACTTATTATAAAATATAACTTGAAAGAACAATAATGAGAGAAAAGTATTAATAAAATAAGAATATCTTATTTGAGTATGTGTTTATAAATGAAGTGAGGGGTTTATTTATAGATTAATAACCCTTTAAATCCTAATTTTATAGTCCAATTCAATTTATATTCAAATCTAGATACAAATAATCAAATCTAAGAGTTCAAATCAGATTACATTTATTGTGTTTGACATATTGTGGTGTTTGATTTGATTTAAATTTTTTAAATTATTACATAACAGATATTTACACACATATATTCATAATAGTATACGGTTATTAGTTGGATTCTTTTTGCAATATTAGACATTTGTGAAAGGCAAAGTGGGGACAAACAAAAGTTGCAATAATAAACTCTCTAAAAAAATTTGGCCAACACTTAAATGCATTTGTCCATTGAGAAAGACTTGATTCCGATTTCGATGTTTCTGAATAGCGCACGATGGTCCCCGCGGTCCGCGCAGCCCTACTAGGTGTCGAGTGCTTTTGCTATCGGCACCGTTTTCTTCGAGGGTCTGCAAGCAAAGAGCTCATATGGTCCACATTTAGGTGTTGTCACACTGCAATATTTATTCTTCTATAATTGTCATGGAAAATGTCCCCACATTCGGTGAGCAAATTCCCCGCTTCCAGGGAGCAATTTGTGGAAAATTTTGTTGTATTATTTTGCACTTCAACTTGCGCCACCCCCTTAATATATTTTTCAACAAAATAACTTGTTCTTTTCATTCAACTAGTATAGGTTTCAGGTGTACACTTTGAACACTCATCATTGAGGAAATATTCTATTTGTAGCTCAACATACACAATCTCAGGTCCTGAAGCCAGTGAAGTTTTTAACAATCTCATTTCACATATCTCCACTTGTAAGCAACAAAGATTTAATCAAATTTTCATACACAATTATTTTTTGAACTGATTTTATACATAAGTAAAGGAATGCGCACAGAAGACCTGATAATCAGCCTACTCCAAGTCCTCCTCATCCAAATTTTCTCCAGCATTATTGCACTCAGGCCATTTCTTGGATTTGCAGAACTTCATCATAAAGAACCAAGCAATGCTAAAAACAGTTAGTATAGAACTCATCAAATAAACAGTTCCAGTAGCCACTGACATAACATAGATCAAAAACCCAGAAGGAATCAAGCACATCACAATCAAAGCAGGCAACTCCACTGGCACTTTAAACGGCCTTTTGATCGATGGAAATTTTCTCCTCAACCAAAGAAATGATGCAAATTCTAGTAACATCCCTAAACTATACAAGAAGTTAACTGAAGAAATTAAGTCTGCAAAATCCATATAAGAAACTGCGACAGTTATCAGAGTTGAGACCAAAATTCCCAGCCAAGGTGTATTAAACCACTTTGATCTCACCGAGAAACATTGCAGAAAAAGTCCTAAATCAGCCATTCCAAGTAGCTGATACACGCAACTGCTCAATTGTGCTTCATAGAGTCCAACAATTGATAAAACTGCACCAATTTCAAAAAAGATCTTTAACCATTTTCCTGCAATGATTTCAGCTACATCAGCAAAATAACCATCAACCCAATTCTTTTGCTCTAGTGGTATAGCCCCAGTAGCAGCTAAAAGAGGCACCAAGTAAGCTAAACAAGTGAGCAACCCGGCTGAGAAAAGTGCTTTCGGGAATGTCTTTTGAGGTTGCTCAACTTCACCTGCTAAAGTACTGGCATTGTCCCAGAAGTTGAGGTTCCAAAAAAGGGTATTGAAAAACAATGACCAATCTTTTTCTACTCCTTTCTGACCTAAGCTAATCCATCTATTAGGATCAATCTTGGGAATTGAAATCAAAGTCAATATTATGAACGGTAAAAGTGAAATAACTCCTAAACAGACTGCAGTGTAACCAACTATAACCAAGCCTGTGTAGTTCAAGAAAGATAAAAGCAAAGTCGAAAGGAGTATTGCAACATATCGAGGCACCCCAGAAGACAAAAGCGGAATAACCAACTTGAGATAGTCAACACATAGAACTGGATACGAGGCCAGGTTGATCACCCCGCTGAGGAATTTCCACGAGCCCATAAGCGAACCCCAGAATGGCCCAAAAGCCTGGTGAGCCCAGATGACATAGCCGCCGTTACCAGGGAAGGCTGTGGCAAGCTCAGCTGTGATCAAGGCCTCAGGTATGCTCCATATGAAAGGGAAAATAAGGAAACCGAGTATGGCCCAGAGTGGCCCAGCCGCACCCACCGCTGCCTCCTCACCATATGCTCCCCCGGAGACCTCAAAGTAGATGAGGAAGATCAGGGGGATGATCGATAATTTCTTGGAATTTTTGCTGGCGGCGGCAGGGGCTGCTGCGGCTGCGGCGGTTGGAAGAGTTTCTTGGTTGGATAGGAGGTGCTGGGAACAAAGGCTGGAGTCTCCCATGGTCGATAGATATTTTGCTTGCACTCAGGGGCTCTCGAAAACTTTGTGAATGTTGGGTTGATAGTACGACTGACAAACACATGGGCTACCACATGTATTTTCTTTCCTCCACAATAATTGATTGCTAAAATTGGTACACCGACTCCTTCACTTGCCGATACTTTTAAACAAACAGGAACAACTGTAGGTAATGGGGGAAAATGTGCTTATTATGATGAGTGTAATGGATCTGCAAGCGAGTCAAAAAGTTTTTATTGCAAATTTGACTTCCTAGTTAATACATTTGCAGCTGATAAACCTGTTTCCATCAGAGCTTACGTGCAAGCTACAGCTTGCCCTCGACTTTCCAATTGTGTTCCGCAATTATTACGGTGGGAGTACAGACAATTTTTTAACATTGTATTGCAGTTAAATCTCTGCTTCCGGGAAGGCACAGTGTTAGATGTGTGAATACTTTTGTAGCAGTAGCGTAGGTTAATTGAAAAGTGCAATTGGGTGTTGGGACCACTGAACGAAAGCTGTACCATCTCTAAAGGTCGCGGACAGCCCATCGTGGCTCTCTCCATGGTTATTGGAGCTAGGTCCACGGGGTGTCCATATCATAATACATGGCTGTAGTGAATTGAAAATGATTTATCTAAAAAAAGGTTTAATACGGTATTAGGTTTTATATTTTGATAAAGTGATAGGTTTAGTTTCTATATAATAAGTTATAAAAAAATTAATTTTTATATTTTTTAAAATTAACAATATTAATCTAATTATTAATAATGTCAAAATGTTTTTTATTATTTATGCTAATATGGTATTTTCTTATTGATATGACTTGAATATAATGATGTGGTGTTTTTTTTTATATATGTTTCACAATATTCTTTTCATTACTTTAAATTATCCAACAGGAAAATAAAATTATTTTTTGTGTCACAACACTCTTTCCCAAAACTCTATTTTTGATCATTTTCTTTTCCAATCTTGTTTAAAACTATTAGTTTACATTGAATAATTCCACGTCAGTATTTATAAAATTCATGTTATTATTTGGTCATGTCATATCAATACTATTATTGTATCATTCATAGAATGCTACATCATTATTACCATGTTATTAAATTCAATGTCACATCAACATAGCCAAACTCCATATCAGTATAGATAATAGAAAACTTTTATTACATTGGATTAACATGTTAATTTTAAAAAATACAGGAACTCAACTTTTATATATTATTGTACAAGGACTAAATCTACCACTTTGATAGAGTACAAGGACTAATAACATAATTTGACCATTTCAATCGATGAAGTCAGTAGAAAATCAATAAAGGAAAAATGAAATACTAATAAATTATATAAAATCTAAGTTTCCATGTTTTCCCCTTTTTCACCATTAATTAAATGCAGGGGTGAGTAAGACTCGCCTAACGTGATTTGAATTTGAGTCAAACTGTCACAAACCATCTGGAGCCATAATCGACACAAAGGCCTAGCAAGCACGCTCGCTTGACCCAAGAACACCTCCAATACCAAATTTGTTCAGATAATCAAATATGACATTCTGAGAGAATGCCTCATCTCAATAAGCATGCATGCATATATATAATTATAGTCAAAGTATATATTTCATTGGATAATTCATAATATTTTTTGAACATGTGTATATGCAAAACCATCAAAATCAAAGAATTCACAAGTTCATATACTAACATATAGTATGCCAACCAATGGTTAGGTATAAACATTTATCAAAAATATGTTTAACCAAAACAAAGTATGACTCAAACTCAGCGGAGCAACTCAACAAAAGGTGAAAAACCTCTACGGGATGCCTTGATGCCCACTTTGTAAGTATTAGCAAAAAGGAGACTCCTTGGGTAAGCCAACCAAATATATACTGATTTGGAAACAAAAATAAAATTTACATGCAGCCCAATTAGCAAATGTGGGGAAAGAGAACAAGCAAGCGTAGGAGTTTTTGTACAAACACATTTTTCTCAAATATGCCAAATCAAATCCAAGATCTGCTCAAATCCATTTAAAAAGAAGAGTTTATGCATCAATTAAAAGGCCTAAAATATGCCTAAAGTCTTTTAAAACTTGGTCTAAGTTTTCTCAAACAAAGCCCTTTAAATGAACTTAAAATAACCAAAACAGTGCTTACTTCCCTACACAAATCGACTGTTCTTGGGTGAGAGGTTGATCTTTTTTGAAACAGAACACTCTTTAGGTGTTTCACTGGCTAAGGATCGACCTTTTGGTTTTTAAGGCTTGATCCTTGCACTTCTAGCATCAAATTATTAGTTTTAAAACTTTCTAGTTTCACATTATTTACCTTAAGATCAATTCTCTTTTTTAATCTTTCAAATTTAAAGTTCCAAAATACTAATGGTTCTACATTTCATGAGCTAAAAACATAATTCCATCAAGGAATTTAATCAAATCAATTCCATAACCAAGTATACAAGGTATACAACCATGCAAGATAACATGTAATCCAATCATGATAAAATATTGGACTCAAACATGATATATGAGCATACAAAGCATATGAAACAATCATGAAGAGACAAACAATCCAAATGTGTTAGAGAACATATCCAATAATGCTAAGGCATGAAATCCAAGTTTGTTAAGGCATGTATCCAATCGTGCCAAGGCATGTATTCCAAATGAGTTGTAGCACATAACTGATCATGCTAAGGAATGAGTCCTAAGATTCCAAAGCACACAACTAACCATGTCATGGCATGGATCCCACGTGTGATAAGGCACGTAGCCAAATCCAAAGGTGTTATGGTACCGAACCCAAATCCAAAAGTTCTAAGGCACTTGAACCAAATCCAAAAGTGCTAAGGCACCTAAACCAAATCCAAAAGTGCTAACGCACCTAACCAAATTAAAAAATGCTAAGTCACTTACAACATCACCAAGCCTCAAAAAAGGTATAAGCACACTCATTCTGTATTCAAGTCATTTTGAAACGAAGTTTTCCAAGCAATTGAAAGGCTTCTTCCTTATGTAAGAAAACACACACACGCACACACACATTTACATACATATATAAGTTCAAAACATTTTTCCTTCAAAACCTTTTGGCATCAAACATATTCAACTAATACACAAACATTCGAAATTCTCATGCTTTTCTAAACCTCTGAAACATACTTAGCTATACCTAAAATAATTTTAAAACACACATCTACTCATAATACAAATACTCTCCTTTTTGAACATTTCCAACCAATAGAACCTCACTTAATACAACAAGTTGGAATCTCCAATAGCACCTACGTTAACAATCAACCATTAATATCATCATAAATATTCTAGAAATTCATAATATCTAAATATTTATATTTGAACTTTACTTATCTTCATTTATTTCCAATAATATTTATCAATCTTTCTTCCAAACTTCATACCCATTAAAAGATATAACATACTTTACCTATTATCTTACCTTGGTGAGCTCTTTAGAGAGGAAATCTAGAAAAACCTAGCAAACTTAAAAACAAATTCTAATTTTTTAGAGAAAGAAGATTAAAATCTAAAAACCCATGATTTTAAGGTTGAAATCTCTTACCTTTAGCTCTTAAAATCCAAGGTTGATTACCAGGGTTATGAGGGTTTTGAAAGGATAAGAATTTGAGAGAAAATGGGAAGAAAATGAAGAGAAGAGAAAAAGTGAAGAATGGCTTGGGATTAAGGGTTCAAGGTATTTATTTTTTTGCTGAAATACTAAAAGATTGACCTTTTAATTGGCAAAGGTCAATCCTTCAACTTCATAATGCTATTTCCCATGTTTTTGGGCTTAAGGATCAACCTTTTAAAGGGCAAGTGTCAACCTTTACAATCCAAAAAGCATTTTAGCCACTTTTTGCTCCCAAGGATTGACCTTCCTAACTCTAACTTGCAAAAATTGATTTTTTTTAAGTCCAAATTCAATCCTAGTTCTTCCACCAACCTCCAAGTCTTTTATTTCTAGATTCTCAAGGGTAGAAATTAAGGATTTAAGTTAATGAAAGCATTTCTTAAGCTCACCAAGTTAATTACCCAATTTACCCATGTAATTAAAGTTAGGGGTTTCACATTCTCCCTTTTTTTTTTTTATGAAAATTCATCCTTGAATTTTCAGATAGAACACTAACCTTGTTATTCAAATAAGTACGGGTACTTCGTTCTCATCTCATTCTCAACTTCCCAAGTTACTTCCTCACTTAAATGGTTGTGCAACAACACTTTCACCAAGGATATATCCTTGGAAAGAACTCGTTTTACTTGCCTATCCAATTTGGCTACCAATCATTCCTCATAAATCAAGTCTTCCTTTTTAAGTTGGATGGCTTCATGCTGAATAATGTGAGACAAATTAGTATTATACTTTCTGAGGATGGATACATGGAAGATCAAGTGGATACTAAAAAGATCTAGGGGAAATGTTAGTTGATTTAGCATCGCACCAATCTTTTTAAAGATCTCAAAAGGGTTTATGTATCTTGGACTTAACTTGCCTTACTTTTTGAATCTCATGACACCCTTAGTTGGTGAAACATTCAAGAACATATGATCCCCCACTTGAAACTCTAAGTCTCTACATTTATGATCTGCATAAGACTTTTGCTGACTCTATGCCGTAAGGATTCTCCCTCGTATCAACTAAATCTTATCTATGGTGTCTTGAACCATCTCCGGTTCAAGAAACGTTTTCTCACCAACCTCAAACCAATGAATGGGCGATCTATACTTATGCCCATGCAATGCCTCAAATCAAGCCATTTGGATACTAGATTGAATGTGAATAAGCTTATTCATAACCTTAAATATGAATAAGCTCATTATCTTGAATGAAGCTATGTAACTTTAAAAAGAATAAACATATGATGCAAAATGTTGTCATGGTTTGCAAATGCTTACTCTACTGTGATAATGTCACGCATCCATATTTATGGCCTTTAAAGGTCCTCAAACTCCATCATTGATTCCCTTTTGTTGTTTTCTTCAATCAAATCATAGTTTGATCTTGAAATCTTTGCATTACATTAAACTCTTCTTTTCTCTTTTGACTACTTTCACTTGTTCATCATCGAAAGATTCATGTTATTTGTTCCTTGTTCATTCATCACTCATTACTCTTTCTTTCAATG